TCGATGCTGATGTTGAGCATACGACAAGTTTTGCGAAACCGAAGACTCTTGATCCCAAAACGATCAGCACTCAGACAGTGACGGGTATCGATGCTCCCGATAAGCCATATGCCGTGTTTACTTTCTTTTACCGTGGTGATAGTATGTTTCTAGATTGACCTTTTTATATGATCTATTTGCTAACGTTTTCTTTTACAGAGCAACTACAAAAGCTTGGAGTTATGCAATCCTCAAAAGGCCCCCAGACGACACCGGGATCTGTGAAGCGGCGTTCAGGCCAACTAGACTTTTCCAACATTGGACCGCTTAAGACGGGCGGGACTGTGGGATTCTCAGCTTTCCGAGACAAGGAGTCGGAGGCTGCTCGCAAGAGAAAAGTACGAAAGAAGAGCAACGGAGCTCTCGTTGAAGATAGCGATGATGACGACGACGATGACGAGGCGATCATCAAGATGGAGGATGCAGATGATAAAATCGATTCGAACCATCTTGCTCCCGAGGATGCTCAGTCCTCAGGGGAGCTTGCTGATGGTGTGAACAGGATTCACGTAAGTTCAGCCGATCTTATTTACGGGCAAGAAGCTAACGATTTACTCAGCTTAAAAGGGCGCACTCAGCCGAACCCGATAGCAACATCCCAACAGACACCCCTACGAAACTATCTACACAAGAGTCGACGACCGCACCTGGCCAATCAGGATCTGGAGGACCCTCCGACCTGCCTCCCCCAGGACTTGTGGGTAGTCCTCTGAAAAAGCAACGACCCAGCATCGATCATACAAGCCTCGGCGACCGATTCTCCGCAACACAAAGTATGAGTTCTGCGCTAGAATCAGTAATATCAGGCGTGTCTGGACCAGCTCCCTCTAGCCTTAGCACCACTCCTGAAGTAAAACCTAAGGTTGAGGAGGAAGAGGAGCTGTAAAGATGAATAGAATGGTCTAGATGTTGCAGTCCGCGATATGCTGTAGGAATATGCCGAAGAGGCTACATCGAGGAAGATCTCATTTTACAAGGAGATTTTGGGCTTGTGGTTATTGATACCACCTTGGTGGCAGCAACCCCCGTACAACGCCAATAAAAGACGGAGGTGCTGGGGGAGTATGGATTTCTCGGCGAAAGAACGGTTTATACGGCTACTTTGGCGTGGTGCAAGCAAATAGAACTTGGAAAGGGAAAATTTGTTTCGCGTACTGTGGTTTGAAACCAGCGACGAACAGCTGCGGAACCTCTGGGCGAGCAATTTGCCTCATGTGAAATGATATGCTTTTTTGTTTTTGTCCCTTCTGTGAACCTTTTCGTCTGTGAGTGAATGAATCCTGAGGGCGAAGTTAGGAGCACGAGCTTCCACGGTGTCAGTTTCTTGTTTCACGAGGTGCAAGGTGTGGTCTGAATATCACACGTTCGTGTAAGCCGAGTGGCAACGTTGTAAGGAGGGTTTCTTGTCTCAAGAGGGCCTTTCTATCTCGATTAGGATGTAAGCATAGGCTGTGCTGGTAGAAAGTAGTCTTGTTATTGTGTGGAATCCACACATAGGAACAATGGCGTTAGTATGATGAGGGTAGGAATATACCTAAAGTGCCTATATAGAGTACCTGAGTGGTGGGTCTGATGGTGCGATTTGAATATCGACTTTACTCCAGATAGTGAGATATCAGAAAGGCAATGGCATTTGGCATTACCGATTCCCCGAGGGTCGTAGAGAGGGCCTTTGATCACGTTGTGGTGGTGGCTCAAATAATAAGAGACGCACGTCGACGGCGTCCGTGACCTCCGTGGCCGAATGACTCTTTCGCCAGGGTTGGCCAGCGCTCCAATTAGTGTCTCACAAGCTGTGGGCTAAACGCCCACCAGGCCCTACATGTCGGGTTATCGCTCCTATTCCGGTAGGCTGGTGTGTGGTCGTATCGAAAGCGAAAGCTCCGGGCTCTTGGCCGTGGGGCGCTGCCTCTTCGGCGTGGCTCGCATGCTCCGTCCGGGGGCTGATGGGAGGGAGCACATAGCTGCGCGAATCGGCCAGTGCCCGAGATGGCAATGAGAGGTTTTTTTTTATAGTTCGATGGCAAATGCAGTTAGCTAATGAAGCGAAATCCAATATATTTAAGTGAACAAATACCCGCCGTCTGTTTCTGGAAAGTGACAGCTGCCGGATACTATCTGATCTGATCTTATCTGATCGTACCAACTCTAAACCAACAGCTGGATCACCCAATTGGGTAAGCTACCTCGCAAGGCCGAACAATGGCCTCACCAGAACAAAACGAGCAGAAACATCCGGACGAACAGAGTTCGGCTAAGAGCACCAGCCCGTTCAATGACGAATTTGCTCAATTCGCCAAGGAGACGTTGGAACAATGGAAGGTTCCGGGTGTCTCACTTGCAGTGATTGACGGCGATCAGGTCTATGCCGAGGTGAGCTTATAATTACCTGCGTAACTATCCTGATATAACACATGATGATTCAAATAGCAAATCTCACTCTAATGTTGGTAGGGATATGGTTTTGCGTCCCTGCCCGACACACCAGCCACGCCAGAAACGGTGTGGTATGCCGCATCAACGACCAAGGCCTTCACTGCGGCCGCTCTCGCTCACATCATCGCCGAGAAGAAGCACCCGGCTCTGTCCAAGGGATGGTCTACCAAGATATCCTCCATCATCCGCGACGACTTTGTCCTCCAGGATGACTGGATGACCCAGAATCTTAATCTTGAAGATGCCGTGTGCCATCGCACAGGCATGCCCCGTCACGACATGGCGAATCACCGAGAGGACGAAAAGGGGAACAAGCTGTGGCCCCGAGATGTCGTTCGCAACCTGAGGAACCTCAAAGTCACCGGTGAGCCACGCGCCAAGTTCATGTACTGCAACATCATGTACGTGGTGCTGTCCCACGTCATCGAGACTCTCGCGGGTAAGGGCTTGGGCGAGGTGCTCAAGGAGCAAATCTGGGAACCGCTCGGCATGAACTCGACCTATTTCAGCCCCGAAGATGCGAAGAACTCCGGGCCCATCGCATCGGGTTATCACTGGGACAAGAAGGCCGAGAAGTACATCCCTCTTGAGGAGATGGCCACCAACGAGATCAGTGGCGCGGGCGCGATGCTGTCCACCGTCCTGGATTACACCAAGTGGCTCAAGTGCCTCTTGCATGAGGAGGCGCCATTCTCGAAGGATACACACAAGGACATCAGAACACCGCGGATAGTGGGTGCCATGCCCAACGGCGCCAAGGATGTGAACATGTATGGTCTCGGCTGGGAGCGGACGATCTACAGAGGTCACATCCTCCATGCACACAGCGGGGGAATGCATGCCTTTGGATCGCAAGTATATTGGCTCCCGGAACATAAGTTCGGGGTGGTGGCGTTCGGAAACACTCTTCTTAGCTCTAACGCCGCCGAAGATGTTCTTTGCTACAAGCTCATCAACGACAAGCTTGGTCTACCAGAAGCGAAACGGCACGATTATAACAAGCAGTAAGTTTGCTTCATGACAAACGGCACCGAGAGCCATGGCTAATGTAACATCAAATCAGCTGGAGAGATCTTTTGGATGGAGCCGCTAAGAGCAACGAGGGTGTTCTTGACAGACTCTACCCGGACAGACCAAATCCTGCCTTGCCCCCAAGCCTGCAGACGGGTTGCTTCGTGGGAACCTACGAAGATGCGGGCTACGGATCCTTTACGCTGCGGGAGGAGCCACACCCTGACAAGCCAGGGGAGACTATCTTGGTGGCGGATAGACCTAGAACTACGTGGCGCTATGTGATGAAGCTGCACCATGTCACGGGTGACTACTGGATAATTTATACAGAGCTACAGGGCGTTGCGGATGCCATAGCGAACAGCACAGTGGGCGGCCAATTCAAGATTGGCGTCGACGGTAAGGTATCGTCGCTGGATATCCACTGGGAGAATTATCTCGGTCCAGCCACTGATGGGGGTGTGGTGTCGTTCAAGAAGACGGGATGATAGACTATTGCTTTAAAAAATCTGCATCTTGAATACCGAGTTAGTACAGCATTCTGAGAACATATTGCGAAGTTGAAAAATTGTGAAAAAGGGACATGTCAGACTGTTGAGCTTGATAATTGATTGGATCAACATGGAGATTCAGTTGGCCGTTCTTAATGGAAGTAGTTTGTCATCATACAGATGGTGAAGAAGTGCAATGGATATGAGGGAAGCTGCGAGGCGGAACAAACCTGTTGAGATGGATGGCATAAAAGTAGCAACACTTGATCGAGGATGCGTCGTGGAAGAGATCCAAGAATTGACCACAATCACGGCGTCCTATGTGCAGGCCATCCTTCGTTGAGAAGTTGGATAGGATAAAAGATTTGAGACGAAATTTTTTTGGACCTGTGATATGTAGTCCCCAGAACCTCTTTACTGCGAAAAAAGCTTTCTAGTTGCATACCTAGCCTCGAAGAGACAGCTCCATCCCACCAAGTATGCAACTAGCGGGGTAGTGACGGTGCGGATTGCCCTCTATTTGTACTCTTATAGCGGCCACAGCATGCTTATACGAGGGCCACGAGTATGGTGCTAATAATAGGAGCCGCGCGAGACTGAGTGATCGTAGATGCAATTATGAAGCTAGTTTCTTGACTCATAAGGAAGCAGAAAGCCTTTCATCATAATCATGGAAGCTTAGAAATGTATGTGCACCTTTTCATGCAGGGAATATGCATGACCTTGCAGGAAATGAATGGAATTACGCCACGACGGCCTGGGGCTGGTGCTTTCCAGCAGCGCGTCACTCCAATATCCCTGGTGCCCAAGTTTTGACCCAGTTTTGGCCCAAGTTTTTTTGCACTGTGCCCCTCAACCCCACCATTCAGCCCGATCACCTCCTCTTCCTCCTCTGCTCTTCCAACCTCTTCGTCGACGATTTTGAAGTCCCGGAACTCTGCTCTCCACCATCGCCTCAGCCTCTACATATACCAATCACACTGAAACCGTTGTCCTGGGGCTCACCAGACAAAGTATTTCAAAATGGCAGCGCCCGGTATGTCTCCTAAAATCCCTACCGCTGCCCCTCTTCTGTCGCAATACCGCTAACATCGCGTGAATAGACATCCCAACTCTCGTTAGTACGTGTGCTCCCTACGCTTTTCATACAAGGAATAGAACGTTTACATTATGATCGCTTCTCCCCAATAGCCCAGTTCGTCGAGAACCACTACCTCCCTGATTACGATCGCAACCGCGGAATCATCTCAAAATACTACGTGCGATACTATGCCTGGCCTGAGACATGGGGAAAACAAATTGGTCGCTAACTCTCTGGACCAGCACCCTCAAGCTATGCTCACCTTCGAGAGTGAGAACCACGTCGGCTCTGAAGCCATTCAAGCAAAGTTGAACGTGCGTCCCGGGCTGTGTTCTCACCCATGCGTATAGCGACCTGCTAACCTTGCTCTCAACAGAGCCTGCCATTCCAAGAAATCCGCCACGACAAACCCAACGTTCGTGTACAGCCCTCAGTCACAGACGGATTTGTCATCGCCCTGATCACCGGGCACTTCGAGGTGCGCACCCCTTCTCCATACCCCAAGCCATTTATTTACATAAACTAATTTACGCAACTCTTACCCCGAATTAAGGCCTCCGGTCTGGACAAACCCTTTGGCTTCAGCCAGGTCTTTCAGCTGAAAGTCCCAGATACGCTCCAAGCGGACCAATTCCTAATCTGCAACGACGTGTTCTTGTTGGCCTTTTAAACGAGGGAAAAATTGCTGTATCTGTGTACGATGATGGCAATGGAGCGCGGAGGATTTTTTTAACCAGTAGCCTGCGTTGGGCTTTAGCTACCCTTTCGAATGTGGTGGAGCGTTTGCAGCCGCTGGCAATGTGACGACAATTTCTATTCAGAAGCAAGGCCCGATAGAGTGAATAAAGCCAACTTTCTCTAATGACTTTGCACCCGTATTTAATCGTGAGGGGAGACATGTGTTCCTGATGTTGAGCTGAATTGACTTGAATGAAACCATGAGTATTTCGCTCCTGGTAGATTGCACGCTTGGGGGCGGATACGCAAGCAGGCGACTGACATAAAACATGGCACACCCAAAACATCCAGCGTTGATTTTCAACACAATATTAACACAATATAAAAACAATTAACCAGTAATAAATACAACAACAACTAAATACTATAGAATAATACGTATATTTTGGTTTTATTATTATGCGTCTAGCATTGTGGATAAGGAAGTGAGGTCCCTGACTTGTGTAAACAGAGCTTTGGTGTGCCATGTTTTATGTCACCCGCTTGGCAAGTTCCTGGTTCATTGGGCCCAATTAATCGCCGAGCGCTATCTATGCAGGTTTATTTCAAAAACTGACAAATACCTGCAGAATGATCGGCCTCCTTTACATCCCTCGTCCAGCAAAAATCAAGACGTACAGGGTTGAAATCGCCAGGGGGCGCTTATCTACTTGTGCCTTCATTACTTCCATGCGGAACCTTAGGGGGCTCCCTACGCAAACACATTGAATCTTTGGAATGTACGGTGTACCTGAACACAAAATGGACTCTGGGGAGGTTATGATATCACGCATTTCTGCCTGGTCAATTGCAGCTGGGAAACGCCTTTTGTGGCTGTAGAAAGTCATAAAATTTTTCGTGCCCTGAACCAAACACCAATAACCTTGAATCCCAATGCATGAGGGGTATTAAACCATTTTTAAATCTTGGTGGCAGCCTCAAGAGCCTTCTGCTTCTTGATGATCTTAGCCTGGGCCTTAGCGCCCATGATACCACCACCCCACTGTCGGCGAGCCTGCTCGTGCTTCTCAACGAAGCCATCCTTGATAGCGGAGACGAGCTTGGAGAACTCAGTCTTGTCCTCGGAGCGGACCTCAGTGAGGGCGAGGACAGCAGCGGTCTGGGAGGAAAATCAGTCAGCGAAATTGTCCAGACTAGTTTTTGGGCACCATTCATCTTCTTACCTTCTTGTGAACGACGGTACCGAGACGGGCCTTGCCCTTGACGATGGCGTAGGGGACACCCATCTTCTTGCAGAGGGAAGGAAGGAAGACAACGAGCTCGATGGGGTCGACATCGTTGGGGATCAGGACCAGAGAGGCCTTCTTGTTCTCGATCAGGCCAACGACGTGGTTCAGACCGTACTTGACAGCGTAGGGCTTCTTGCTGACGTCCTCCTTCTTCTTGCCCTCCTTGATGGCAGTAGCCTCCTTGAGGAGACGCTCCTTCTTCTCGGCCTTGGTCTCAGGACGGTACTTGTTGAGGAGCTTGAAGGCCTGGGCGGCGGTGTTCTTGTCGAGAACGTGCTGGAACTGGGCCAGGGAGGGAGGAACCTTGAGACGGATCTGGAGGATCTTCTTCTGGCGCTGGAGGCGGACGTACTCGGGCCACTTGACCATGCGGGAGACGTTGCGCTTGGGCTGGATGTCCTGGCCGACACCGAAGTTGCGGGGGCGCTTCTCGATGAGGGGGTTCTGCCGTTGCGTGTGAGCGAATGCCTCTGTATCGAGTAGGAGAATGGGATCGTCAACGAACCTTAGGAGCCTTCTTGGAGCCAGCCTTTCCCTGAGGGAAAGGGGCGGGGGCGACCTTCTTGCCAGATTTGGGAGGCTGTCATTGAGAAAAGAAGACATCAGCGATATGCTCAAGCAATGCAAGTCTTCTCTGAACTCTAACGAGAATATCATAGGGCATATTCCAGCACCTTAGACATCTCCAGCCAAGTCATCGCCAAGTTCGTAATGAACCTTGAGGCGGGATGTCTCGCTCGTCGCAAGCGACAAAGCGGACCGAATCAATTGCGCAGTTGCGCGTCTGAATCATATAACTGTGGCCATTAGAGCCCATAAAGGGTCTATTTACTCACCATCTTGGATGTTTGGCGGCTGCTCGGTGTTGTTGAGCTGTGATGCTGTGATGAACGGAGTTGAACAAATTCAAAGCAGAAGAAATGTGACAATAATAAGTGGATATTCAAGTCGTGGAAAGAAAATTAGGGCTTGGTGGGTGCAAACCTCCAAATCTGGTGGACCCCACATTAAAAAAAATTGGCCAACCTACCTAGCCACACTGTGGCGGGTTATCGATGCTGCATTAGTCAGTTTCCTCATCGCGCTGGTGGTTGTGTCATAGCGAAGAGTTCTGTCAAGGTGTGTGTAGAATCGTAAGCTTGCAATCAATATTCTGGTCCCTATTTCCAACAATACCAGAAGTTACGTATATCGAAAGAGACTCGAAAAAGGACTCCGTTCTTATTTGCTCGTTGGAGAGCCAAGATCACTGGGACAGAGCCCAGTCATCTTTGTCAAGGGTTTTTAATAAGACCCCGCGATCTACAAGCTGAACATGCCTCCCACACCCTGTGTGAGATGCCATGAGCAACGCGCCGTCGTCAAGAGACCAAAAAATCACCAAAAGCTTTGCCGGGAGTGCTTCATTTCTATTTTCGAAGATGAAGTTCACCATACCATCACTTCATCAAAACTCTTTTACCCAGGAGAAAGGGTAGCCATCGGGGCATCAGGAGGAAAGGATTCCACAGTGCTGGCGTCGGTCTTAAAGACTTTAAACGAGCGTCATGACTATAAGCTTGATCTGGTATTACTGAGTGTTGATGAGGGTATCAAGGGCTACAGAGACGATTCTCTTGAAACAGTGAAGCGAAATGCCACCCAATACGAAATGCCGTTGAAGATCGTGGGCTATGATGAGTTGTATGGATGGACCATGGACCAAGTCGTTGAGACGATTGGTAAGAAGGGCAACTGCACCTATTGCGGCGTATTTCGTCGTCAGGCCTTGGATCGTGGCGCAAAGAAGCTGGATATCAAGCATGTTGTCACCGGCCACAACGCTGATGACGTTGCTGAGACAGTCTTGATGAATCTTCTTCGTGGCGACCTGGCTCGTCTTTCGAGAAGTACCAATATCGTCACAGGCGACTCCCTCAGCGACGTCAAGCGGAGCAAGCCTCTAAAGTACGCCTACGAGAAAGAGATCGTGCTCTACGCCCATCATAAGAAACTCGATTATTTTAGTACCGAGTGCATTTACAGCCCAGAAGCATTTCGCGGTACCGCACGCAGCTTAATCAAGAGTCTTGAGAAAGTTCGGCCAAGCGCTATCCTCGACATTGTGAGAAGTGGCGAAGATATGGGCGAGTTAACACCAGACAAAGTTCAGGCCTCATGTGCTTGTGACGATGGTGGGATGGGAAGCTGTGGATCTGGAGCTCAGAAAGAGGCAGCTTTCAAGAGGAGTTCTCACACGGAAAAACTTGAAACAGAGATCAAGTTAAACAAACCAGAGGAGTCCTCAGATGTGGTCAAGCTACCAATACGAGCAAAAAACGGAAAGCAAACGAAAGGATCAACCACGGGAGCATTGCCGAGCCTCGGGAAATGTATCAAATGCGGATACATGTCGAGCCAGTCCATGTGTCAGGCTTGCACCTTACTTGAAACTTTGAACAAGAATAGAGCAGACATAGCAATATGAGGGGACTTTTAAACTGCCACCAATCGAGTGTCACACTCTTGGTGTGGAGAGTAATGAAAGATATGAGTACCGGATGAAATTATTTTCTTCACCATGTTGATGTAAACGACCTAAGGATCTCGGTCCGTAATATACAATGCCTCCTTGTTGCGCTTGGACCATTCCGTTGTGCCAGTGGTGCTCATCAACGACATCGCTCCTTATGAATAACGCTTCTCAAGCTGCATAGGGTGTTAGTTTTGGCACAAGATGTTCCTGAACATTATGATTTCGAGAAGAAGACTGACCTTCCAAGGGTTGTTTAGCTCAAACCCGGGTGGTGCTACAGCCTGAGCAACTTGTCCTGTTATGGAACCTGTCAACCGACGGTCACGTTGTTGCACTGTGATTCCAATTAGCTCGTGCATTATCAATCGTTCCGGGCGCCTCAAAGAAAGACCGTACTTTGCTATGAGATCAAAAGTTAGCATGTTGTCCGAAACTGAGATCAATTGGAAGCATCATACCCTGTCCCACTGGTCAAGAGAGTATCGTGGGTTCTTGCCCTCGTTATGCCACGTCTTCAGGGCTGCAAGACCCGTGCCAGTTGCTCCGAACATCTAGAATATGATGAGCTTGAGGCGTCAGACTCAATTGGATCATTATCGTACGTACGACAATCATGATGCCGTAGGGCAAAAGTGTCTCGAAAGGAATGGGCATGGCTGCTTCGTCGCCGCAATGCGGTCTTAAATCGGGAAAATAGGCTGGCTTGGTCGTAGGGATAGGCTCGAATTGAAGAGACGTTTGTTCGTTCGCGATCGGAGGGATGTGATGGGAGTCGGTGCTGCCAAGTTGCTGACCTATCTCGTCGTAATGGCATCTATCTGCAATGTCCGAGGATATCGAGCGCTCAATTAAGGCTTTGCTGCCTGAGGCCACAAGGGGACGTGTTGTGAAGGATGCGCCCTTGCCAAAAGCGTAGTGGCACTGTGCGGCGGCGGCCAGCTCCGCACTAAAACCCACTGCAAGTGTTGCGCTCACACTGTGCTTCTACCATCCGCGGTTCAGCCAACTTTGAAAGACGCGACTGGTTCTCATCATCAGGTGCAGCCAGTTGAGTGAGCTTAGCTCACCAGATGCGTTGAGATATTCGACCAGCATATGCGTGGGACCTCTTTGACTTAACTCTTAACTTGTCCATCTGTTACCAGCACGTTGTCCAGGGTTTAGTAGCACGCGATCTACCACAATGCGCGCGACCTAGGCATTGTTGTTATCCCACACCCCGTCGCATTCGCTTTCTCCCAACCGATATGCCTGATTCCCCATCGAATGCCTCGTGCACTTGCTCTAGAGTATCAGGAGCGCAATACCGAACGCGCAAGCGATGGAGGACGAGCTTCAACAGAGCGTGCTGCTCTCCGAGGATGCAGACCCAGAGGCCAACAGCAGTGACGAACCCACAACCATTCATGCGAAACCAAGAGCACTGAGTAGTGCAGCTTCTGATTCTAGAGAAGATGGACTCGACGATGAGTCTGCCATGGAAGACATTGAGATGACGAGCGACCGAGATGCATCTGGGGACGAGGTAAATGCCGAGGAAGTTGACGAAGAGGGGTACTATCAAGGGGAGGAGGAGGAGGAGGAAGAAGAAGATGCAGAAGGCGAAGAAGATTACGAAATTATGTCAGGATTGCCACAGAACCACAACAACCACCTCAGCGATGATGAGGCGGAGACTGGAGATGAAGACGCAGAGGGCGAGGAGGACGATGTGGCTTCCACCACCGTGAGGCTACGCCCCGAAGACGCTGAAGAACGCGATGAAGAGAGCGAAGTATCGACGATTGCAAGCGCCGGTGACGAAGACGAATCTGACGAAGAGGAGAATTGGGAGGACGCTCGAGACACGGCTGAAGACGAGGATGAGGAAGAGTCAGAGGTTGGACCTTCAAATATCTGTATGTTCTGTAAACAGGACGAAGAGCATGACCCAAGCGAGGACTTCGAGGCGTTTCTTACCTGCAAAAAATGCGGCGAAAGTTGTGAGTGCTCGATATGACATACCTAAAGTGTGTACCTTCTAACAGTCGACAGCACATCAGCAATGCGCCCGCGAGTCTGCTGCTATGAACGTATCTAACCGTTAGTCAAACCCCCATTCTTGACTTTGGTTGGCAACCGCTGATTATTACTAGATCCCAAGAACTGGAGATGCCCTGATTGCTACGATGAGGAATCGGAGGCTGAAGACGATGAGGAAAGCGATGGGAACGAAGAACAAGACGTTGATCGCTTAGACTCACAACAGCCTTCCCAAGACGTATTCGACGGACCCGTAGAAAGCGATGGTGTCGATTCTCCAGAGGGACCCAATGGAGACACTGTGAACGGTTCAGCTGATGGACCCCGTCTTCTTCGAAAAAGAAAGTCACCGTCTACGGAGCCCGAGGAGACCTCGGTGTCTTTGAGAAAGAGAAGAAGAAGCTCACACCTCCTCGCCGGGCTCGAAGAGCCGATGGACACTGCTAGCCTGAGTGAAACCACTGCGTCACGATCTCGAACACTTCGGTTGAAAGTGTCACGTCCGCCACCCGTCTCAGTTGAAAGGCAGACACGCGGCTCGCTCGTGTTAAAAATTCAGGTGCGGCCTGGAAATCTTAAAGAGATATTATCAAGGAGAAAGCGGGATGGAAGAAGGGCTGGTGGTAGCACAAACACACCAAGACCCCCCAGAACGCCGGCCCCTCCAGTCGCTACACCTCAAGTACGCGCAGCACCCGTTATTGCCGCTGCCATCGAAACACCTTTTACTGCCGACTCATATTCACAACCGTTCTATTCATTCTTCGATCGCGACACGGATGATGTGAAGGGAAAGCCTTATGGCGGTATCCTCAGCGAAGCTGAAGCTGATACATCAAAGACCCTGCCTATGGCGGATGACCGGCGACGATTTGACCAAGCCAAGCAGAAGGCTGAGGATGAATGGAGAGCCAGGGTTCTGGCAATCCAAGCTGAGACCGACATTCCGAACCGGAAGCCCAAGAAAGCAAATGAGAATGCGAGCCAAATCGAGTGCATTGAGTTTGGCGGGTGGGAAATTGACACATGGTACGCTGCGCCATATCCCGCAGAGTATAGTCGAAATCGCGTTCTCTATATTTGCGAGTTCTGTCTCAAGTACATGAATTCGGACTATGTGGCCTGGCGACACAAACTGAAGTGTTCCACAAAGCATCCACCGGGCGACGAGATCTATCGTGACGAAACGATAGCCATGTTTGAAGTCGATGGCCGCAAAAATCCCGTTTACTGCCAAAATCTTTGTTTGCTGGCAAAGCTTTTCCTAGGCTCGAAAACTCTTTACTATGACGTTGAGCCATTCTTGTTCTACGTCTTGTGCGAATACGACGACTGCGGCTATCATTTCGTTGGCTACTTCTCAAAGGAGAAGAGACCTAGTAGCCAAAACAACGTCTCGTGTATTCTTACTCTCCCAATCCATCAAAGAAAAGGATATGGCAATCTCCTCATTGACTTTTCCTATCTGCTCACAAGAGTTGAGCAGAAAACAGGATCGCCCGAGAAGCCGCTGTCTGATATGGGCTTGGTTTCTTATCGCAACTATTGGAGGCTAGTTCTCTGCCAATACTTCCTGAATATTATGGATAGCGATGACTACAAGAAAAATGGTCTCAGCATCAAGAAAATGTCTGACGACACAGGCATGACAGCGGATGATGTTATTTCTGCTCTCGAGGGGCTGCGGGCTCTAGTACGCGATCCCCAGACGAAGCTTTATGCTTTCCGTATCGATTTGGACTATTGTCGCGAGTATGTGACCAAATGGGAAGCAAAAGGTCATGTCAAATTAAAACCAGAAGCGCTCGCGTGGACCCCGTACGTGATGGGTCGCAGCGTGGCAAACGTCTTCGACCTCGGGCCATTAAGTACCATGGCTCCACGCGAAGACGATGAAGCGAAGATTCAAGAAGGCCCAAACACTGTTGGCGCCGAGACAAACCCCATCCTGAACGGGGTCGGTAGTTCAGCGGATGAGGATACAGCTCACGTTGGCTCGGTGGGAGAGACGGCCGACCACGGTCAGCCAGAAAACCAGCGCTCCCTGGAGGGTCTTTCTGGTCAGAACGCCGACGAAGTGACCTCGCCGGCTGTGAACGGGATCGAAACCAAAAATGAAGCCGAGATCGTCATACAGAATACATGGCTCGCTTCGTATGAGAGCATTCCCTGCACCAGATTTGAAATCTTCCCGCCACTGTCAAAACGCTCAGATCGGAATCGTCAGAGCATCAGTCGGCCTCCTCCCCCTCCTCGGAGGGTTAGTAGTAGCGCTCCCCGGCCCGCCCCTAAACGCAGCGGAGGAAGTGGAGGGGGAGGGAGCTCTCGCAAACCCTCTTCTTCCCGGCCAAAGTCAAGCTCCTCAAAACGCAAAACTGGTGGAACGGGCCGAGGTCCTGGGCGGTGGCCCAAGGGCACGAAGAAGGCGGACTATGGAAATGCGGATAGCGGACCTGGGTTCCCACCGGGTTGGCGGGCCTCAGATACCCATATTGACGTACAGGCCGCCATGGCCAAAGAGGCTGATAGCAGCATCAGTGCCCGCATCGATCGACCAGCTCAGGACGAGGTCCAGGTCTTCGTTGCCAGTGCTGGGGCCACCACCAACAGCGTCAAGGATGAGGTCGTGACTATCAAGGCGGCCGGGGTTGAGGAGGATGAGGAGGACGTCGATGCGGAAGGTGAGGACGAATGAATGAATTTCAGCCGAGGGTCGCGATGGAGTTTGTGGGCTTGGAGTTGGATTTTTGTTAAGGGTTCGGTATTTACAGAGATCCAATGCGGGCTGTGGCACCAAGAAGGTGTCAATGTGTAGTAAGACCGATGGATTCACCCCCGGATTGTGAGAGGCGATATGAGTTGCAACGGGGCTCGCTCGATCTATTCAATGTCTATATAGAAACTAAGACCTATTCCCATACGACGCCGTTTGGCAATATGATTCATCACCCTCTGTTCCTGGAGGGATGTGTTCTACTTCGAAAAGGCTGGAGGGATGTATTCAGCTGCTGCTCAATCGTTCAGATCTGCATGCAAGATGTCTCTAAGAATAAGAGCATCAAAGGTAGTTGCCCTTTTCCCACTGCGAGATCTCTCCGTGTATACCCAACACACATTTACATACTCTCTCTCTCTTCATCTGTCTCTTCAATCCCGAATAATGTCAACTCACAGCTCACGTACCCTAAACAATCAACCCTCCAGCCCAGCATCAGCCTCCGCCTCCGCCATCCGCACACCCCAGAAGCCCTTACCATAACTCACGAGTATCTCCTCCCCCTTCCTAATCCCAACCTGCTTCCCCTTCCCCGCCGCGCGCCCAACCACCCAGAACCCCACGCAGAGCTGCCTCCAGCGCTCGCACCACGCCGTGCCGAACTCGGCGTTCGGCCTCGCCTTGACCCCGCGGTAGTCGTTCACGAACCTCGCCTCGTTGCCCTCCCTCGAAGCGTCGACGGCCAGGTCGGCGTCCCTGTCCAGCCACAGGTCGTAGTCGCTCTCCGGGTCCGTCGTGCTGCTTGGATGCACCCGGCCCAGGTACGCGACGATGAACGTGCCCGGCTTCAGGTCCCGGGCGGCGAAGAGGCCGAACTGGCCGTTGGCGGAGTGGCCGGCATCGTGGATGGGCTGGATTCTGACGAGCGGGCATGGCGACGGCGTGGCCGAGGATGGGATGATCTCCGTCTCGGAGGATGATGCTGGTTTGGTCTGGAGTAGAGATATTTGTGAAGGCGAGAGGACTTTGGGTTGGAGTAGAGGGGCTGTCAAATAGGGTAGGTGAGGGGGCCAATTCTTTGGCACAGACATATTCTCTCTTGTCTGGCCAATCGATTATGAGGGAGACTTGAGACCTATATGATGTAAAGAGAAAGTGGTTTCATGCGCTTTTATGAAATATGACGTGTTCGGCCTGCGTAAACATATCTAGGTGAGTGTGATGATTAGAGGTTGTGGTCTGAGTGGGGGAAGTATCATAGGGCTGAGTGGTAATCATAGACTATGCGCATATCAATTCAATTCAAGGGACTAGGTTTTCAGTGGCGTGGATGCCATTGTATGCTTTCATATATCTATCTACCTATACTAAATCAAATTGCACCTTTTCTTCCTATACGGTCTCCATCGTACAATACGTACACACAGACTGGCCTCTGTCTGCGGTCTTGAACCTCCAACTGCTTTGTTCCACCAAGTATTCATTCGCTGGCACATGACGAACTTGCAAGATAACATGACCCGAGGAATTGTCTGGTCCGGCGCGCTGCTGCTCGCTTGGCCATTGATCCCAGGACCAGCCCGTTGAAAACGAAAATTAAAAACAATAAGCATGAGAATTAACACGTAGCCCTCCAACTTCCATCTCCTAGTGAGACATCACCTCCCTATAGCGCTCCATTCCGAGATCAACAGAATATGCCAAAAGGCGATCCTGAGTGAGTGGGAGTCGAAGGATTTTTGAGCGGAACTCGGTATCCTGTTAGAATGTTAGTTATAGTTACACCAAGTAAAGAGAGTCTGGAGAAATGTGAACGTACCTGCTTCTTCCTTGTCGACTTCAAGATCTCTTTGGCAGTCTCGTCTGCCATGTCAGACAAAGCAGCAAATCGAATGATCTCCCCATCGGCGGCGTCCTCGTTCATAGCAAATAGCCCGGCAGTTAGTTGTTCAAGTAGGCTGCGGGGAGCACCGTCGCCCTTATTACGGTACTGCACAAGTGCCAGGAACAAGCTGTACACCTCTCCTCCGAGTTGCCAGTCCGAGATATGCTCCTGGCGGCCATCGAATTGCGAAAGAAGTGCTGACAAATGCTTGTAGCCCCTTTCAATGATGGCTAGAGGTGCTACCTGCTGCGACAGGACACGGTGTGCCTCTGAAAACGAGCCTGCCTTGAGAAGACATTGTACTTCCGCGGTCGCATCCTTCTTGACGCTGCGGTTGTATAGAGCCAGGGCCTCCCAGATCCATGGCGCAGGAATCTGGTATTTCTCTGTGAGGAGAGTGAAGTTCCCTTCCAGATCGGCATCAATCAGACCGGCATGGCGGCACAGGTGTTCCTGTACCGCCTTCTTTCGGGCAAGTGGCTCGCTCAGATGTAGCAATACAAAGATTGCTTCAACCCACTCTCCAGCACTGGTGAGCTGGGACGCATACGCCACTGATGCTGCATCGCTCTTCTGGGCCCCCTTGGCACCGAAAGAGACCTTGCCTGTGGCGACAAGCGCAACCCCCAATTGCCAGGTGAGTCTCATATCCAGAGGTGATAGCTGCGAGTTCTCTGGGCGCAAGATGGCTTCCAGATCAGCCTTTGGATCTGCGTACAGCTGGAGGAGACCCCATAAAAGATCCTGCCTTTCACTGGTTTTGTCGTCATCCCAAAGAGGACTGATACCTTGCTCCCGGTACCATGGCTGCGGCAGGGCTTCCTTATCCTGCTGGATATCTACCAGGAACTGTTGGACTGCAACCGAAAGATCTTCTTGCTGTGAAATAGCATACCAAAGCCGTAAACCAAACGCTTGCTTCCAGTCCAGTCCAAACTTCTTCGAAATGACGAATGAGTCCAGCCGATCCTCAACCGGAACAGCCTTTAAGCCCTCACAAACGCATACATTGCCGCTCAAGAGTTCGTACATTGCACGAATAGGCTCCGAGAACTCTGAGAGCATCTTGGAATCATGCCAACCCTTAATTTGCTCCTTCATATCCTTCTTAGCCACGTCGCTAGTACCAATCAGGGACACAAGAGTAGCAAGTCGGAAGTTTTTGCCCTCGAGAAGATGTTTGCAAGCTTCGGAAACACGGTGGCCTGCCAAACATGCGACTGCCTTTTCTTCGCTGGAGCCGGCTAGCCCGATTGAAGTCGAGCAAACGGCGTCGACGAGTGTTGTCCAATAACGAGAGAGGTTGGATTTACGCACAGATTGCGCCAATTGTCCGGTCCCGTCATTCTCAAGATCGTCGAAAAGAATGCTCGCCAGCTCCCACACGCGCTTTTCATGAATGCTTGCGGGGTCATTCATTTCTTCGTGGTGGAAGACCCTGGCGACACTCGGGGAGCGAAGCGAAGCTACAGGGACTTCATCCTCAACACGGATCTCTGTCAAGCGATCTTGGGCACCGAGGAATTTCTTGGATAGCTAAAAACAATGAGTAAGTAAAGATAATATATCGACATCAGCTTGGAATACATACTTCGAGTGAGAACTTCCCCAATTGAACAGTCTGATTTTCGGTTTGTATTGTTGATCGTTGAAAGCTTAGGATATCTGACGATGCAGAACGGAAGGATGCGCGGCTCGCGGAAAGCGACTTAGGCTTTCGAGTCACAACAATGGTTTCTTGGGGACCCCAAGTTGGACGACTGGCATCATGAAATGCCTGCTCTGCATCATCGATTTCAAGGGATTTTGGTTGTCTTTCATAGGGCCACTAAATTGCACAAATATATTTTTAGCATTAGAACGATATAAAAAGCTATTAGATAAAACAACATAGGAAGAAAAAATCCACCAGAAGTCCAAAAAGAAGCAATCAGCAGAGTATTTGTGCACCGACCTTTGGAAAACCTTTCTCGGCCGAGATAGAAACTCGATGGTTTTGTGTTGTTGCTCGGTTGGGCTTCTCGAAGAGAGAATTCATCAAATCGATGCTTGTTGCAAAACCGCGACCCTTTTCCATGCTCACTTGTGTGGGTGCCTGTAGACCAGCCAGTCTTGAAGTTTTCCTAAACGCTGCAGACTTGCGCAGATCTTGGTCGGCGTCAAAGCTGGGATCTATCAGTGCGCCCATGCGCCGTGGAGGGGATTCATTGAAGCCCTTTAGAAGTTGCCTGTCTCTCTTGACAGGGCTTACGGTCTTCCTGAGCATCTCCATCCAGTCATCGCCGTCAGCGATTTCCAACTCCAGAGGCCCGGCTGATTCTTTTTGAGCTCGCATCCGGGCTCTAAGTATTCCACCAGGTGTCACCGGATCGGGATCCTGTTCCTCCTGAGACGAGTATCCGTCATGCTCCGCGACGTGATGCTGTCTGACCGAAGACCTCGCTACATCTTCATTGTCGGACAAGTCATATCCTTCACCCATTTCAGCTAGGTCCTCATTGTCGAGAGACAGCTGAACATCATTGGGTGCCGAATCCGCGGAGCTATTCCCTAAAAAAGACTGCTGGAAAGGAGCAATAACACCATCATCCATAATTTCCTGTTCATCGAAAGCACCCGGAAGACCGTGAGATCTTCGAGGTTCAAAGGCTTCATCGGCATTTGAAGAGCTCAGCGAGGAATTCAAAATGAATTGCTGAGCTCGGGAGGGGACAGACGGTTGCTCAGGTGCCTCCTCGATGGCCATCTCCTCGTCAGATTCATCTTCGGAGTTGTCAAAACCGTATGTGGTGAAGTGCTCCACAGAGAAAACCCAGACTCCGCTATCCTTGTCGTAGCTTTCAAAAGTGGTGTCGGGAATCCTCTTGAGACGATCGACGTGCTTCTTGAAGCGCTTGGGGTCTGTGGTCACCTTATCACGAGACCCACGAGGCCATGATTGCTCAAGCGATATTTTGGATGGAACATTTAGACCCTTGCCAACTGGAGGCTTCTTGGCAGTTACTGGATAAACAGTGGCCGATCGGGGTTCCAATTGGATAATACCGCCATATAACTCTTCCACCTCGATGCCGGTGATATCGACAGGGAACTTGAAAGCGATGGAGCCGACATTGTGACGCCCAATCACGAAGTTGTCGATAGACTGTCGCTGGATCCTATTCATGTTCTTCAGTTCCTCATAAGAAGGTTGAGACCAGTAGTCGCCAGGAGCCTTGTCGACTCCACTGACGGAATTAGCTTCAGGTGTGGCAGAGTGGTCCTCCTCGTGCACGATTTTCAAGTCAGTGCTTCGGCTAGTATCAGCCTCTGGTGTACGAGCGCCGTTGATCCCATTGGAATGGCGATTTTGGCGAGGGGTCTCATCAGCCTGTGCAATCGGGGAGCTTTCCGGAGCTGGCAGGGCACCACGGATGACGGTTTCGCCATCAGGCTCGACATTGCTGGTGTCAAAGCTCACCCGCTTAGACAACTTCCTTGAGCTGGTGTTACCATCTGTGATCAGTTTATCCTTCTGGGGGGTCGAGAACAAGTCACTTCGAATGTCGCGGTTAATAACAAGCTTCTTTGATCCTGTGCTGCCATACCACCGGGGACCTGAGCTGGAAGAAAAGGCACCCGGGGCGAGGATACTATCATCGGTGTTGAAATTTCGTCGTAGGTTGTTCGTGGACATGCTCTTGCTGAGGGATCCACTGGAACTGGCACCAAGGAGGCTTCGACCTAGGGTTCCCGGAGTGCTTGCAATGCTGCTAGCAGGACTTCCACCCGGTGTCCCATAGGTGCTGTATGAAAAGCCGTATGCCCTCTTCTGGGGGGTGCCGTAACGCGACGCAGACGCGGGTGCCATCTTGGACATAGCAAGAATAGAGCCTCGCTTCGGCTTAGCGCTGCTGTTGAGTGGCGTCGCGAGAGGACCGGGGTTTGTGACCTCGTTGTTGATACTGCTTCCGAATAGGGAAGGGCTTCCGTAGGCGGAGACGTCATTTAAGTTAGCAGTAAGGCCCTGAGGGGCGTTGCTGGCTTGCTGAGAATTATTCAGCATCGAGTTTCCAAGGCCTTGGGCTTGCTGATTTGCACTGGCACCAAATAGCGAAGATCCGGCGTTTTGGGTGTTCTGGCCACCAAAGAGGGATCCGCCCGCGTTTTGAGAGGTTCCAAATAGTGATGGCTTCTGCTGTTGGTTGTTGGCACCGCCGAAAAGAC